CCCAGAGCATCCTCAGAAGGAAATTTGTACTGCTTCCTCCCAAAGAGTGCACCTGGACATCCTCATGAAAAGCTTACAGCTATTTGCTGACTTCCATATGTGTGCTGAAACAGAGTTTTGCATGTTTTTAGCCTTCTCCTTCTTCCATCACTCAAAAGACACTTGTTGCTGAAGAGATGGTATCCCCTCTATCTAAAGTTGGCAGTGCCAAACTGCTAAATCCATGCTACTCACATTGTATTGACAATTCCATCCAGGAACGCCAAGAGCAAATCCATCACCAAACTGATTTTGGTAAGGTTCTTCTTTCACCTCTCATTTAATAATGAAGCTTATTATATGGTGTCCACATGTACCTGATGATTTCAGTTTTTCATTCTGTGACTAAATGTCTGTCTCTGGTAGTAACACAGAATCACACAATTGGGGCTGGAAGGGACCTCTGGAAATCATTGAGTCCAATTCCCTGCTAAAGCAGGTTCCCTACCATTGCAGGCTGAACAGGGATGAAATTAAATGACAAATTACTTTCAGTGCTGAATGTAGGGATAAAAAAAATTGTTTTTAAAGCAATTATTTGTAAATAATGTGAGAATTTGCATGTATTTTCCACCATTTAATTTAACTGATGAGAGAATTGAGATGTATGGGCTTTCCCCAGTACATGGACATGCAGGGGAATGGCTGCAGTTCAGTACTGAATGGAAGGGTTGTATATACAGATAAACTGAAATAAAATATGAAATAAAATAAAATATATAGGAACTGATATTTTTAAAAGTTAGAAACATGTCAGATAGCTGCAGTGGAGTATGTTACATTCCCCAGCTATGTGCTGAAGGCAAAAAGAGAGTTTAACATCCAGGCTGGGGTGCAGAGAACACAACAAATTCAGAACTACAGGTGAGAATTCCTCCTTGTCTAGCACTATTGCCATCTTCCTTTTAAAACATTTTATTTATTATTATTAATAATAATAATAATAATAATAATAATAATAAAATCCTGTAAGAATTAGCTGTTATTGACAGCCATCTAGTTTACAAGAAATGCACCTAACGATACATGGCCATCCTTGCTTTTTCTTCCCCTCCTCAATACACGCTTATAGGGGCCTCAGATGGAGGAACAGAAATGCAGCTGAGGGAAAGAGCTGTTATGGTCTCCAGGCCCTTTTTTCCTATCTGACCATGACTTGTGAGCATCAACTCATCTAGACACAAGAGGAATGGCTTGCAACAGCTAATGCATGTCCCAGGGTAAAGGAGAATACTTTTTGCTTTTGTTACCGTATTTGTTCAGGGGGTAGAGAAAAGTCTTCCTCTGTGTTTTAGCTCAAGAACAGATGTATACTGAGCATGCTGGGTTTATGAGATGGAAACTTCTGCTACTGAGAGAAAGCGCACCAAAACGCTGGTTAATGAGGCCAGTTCTAAAATGTGAAGCAGAGCTGGACAAGAGATCCCTTAAAGAGCTTTTCCAGTGCCTCGTTTGGCAGAAAGCTGATGCTTTTTTGTGTGCTTCTGTGTGAGCCGATGGCAGCCTGCACAGCCACAGAGAGCAGAGCACATCCATCACACAGCCCTGTGCAGCAGGTAAGCTTCTGCCAGGAAGCGCCCAGCTAGGGCAGACACCAACACTGCACTTCTTTTCTCCTTCCTTCAAATAATATTTAGAAATAACACAATGTGACATTTACTGTTTCCATTTCCTTTTCGAATTTCTGATTTCTGGCATTAAAGGAGGACGGTAAGAGCCTGAATTCCAACGCTTGCTCAACTCCTCTGTGCTTAACACTCTATAAATTTGAACATGTTTTTTGCATAATCAAGCAGCATGTCTGTGCTTTCTTCTTTACTTTTGACTGGAGATCTTTCTCCATCAGTTGTGGCTCTAAAAGGTACTTTTTTCTTTTTTTTGTGACATTCACAGACAAGACCATGTGTAATAATGAACAGTTATGCAAAGTAAACTTTGGGTTGTCAGGGTACAGAAGGTCAGGCAATATCAACTTATTAAATGACTACAGAAAATATTTGTCTGCACTCTTTAATCAAAAAGATATCAATGATCAACACTGTGGCCTTTCCTTTAATCACCTGCTGTAATTTAATCAAAAGCTGAGCAAGAAAAGCAGTTTTGAGTGTTACCTTTGATTATATTAAAATGGAAAAAATCTTTATTACTGTATGAATCACAGCTAAGAATTTCAGGCTTTTATACTGTGCAACCCAAAGCATAGGAAAGCTTTTGACATTTAAATTTAATTCAGTACTAAGGTGATAAGAAAAACATGGCCTTTAGTAAAAAAAAAAGTCAACTTAAAACATTCAGAATTTTAAGTTGGACACTCAAGAGTCCACTGGTGCAGAATGTGTTCACTTCAAAATATGGCTAAATCTGACATCCCTTGCGCACTCAACCCTTACTGAGAAAAAGGAAATTATCCAGAAGTACAGTGCCCTGTGCAATGGATAATTTCCTTCCTTCCCTTCCTTCCCTTCCTCCCTTCCTTCCCTTCCTCCCTTCCTCCCTTCCTCCCTTCCCCCCTTCCCCCCTTCCCCCCCCTTCCCTTCCCTTCCCTTCCCTTCCCTTCCCTTCCCTTCCCTTCCCTTCCCTTCCCTTCCCTTCCCTTCCCTTCCCTTCCCTTCCCTTCCCTTC